TAATATCAGTTTTGGGCCAAGTGCGAATACATTTTTCGCGAATCGGCCTCAATGACAGAAAGTTCAGGAACGGAGGACCTTGAGTGTAAGGGAACAGCTGGCCCACCGCCACTTGTCCAACGGCTTCGGCATTATTGAACGATGGACCCAGATAGAATTCATTGAGGTCAGCATTAGCTTGTGTAAGGAAGTTTGGATTTACATACGGCCTAGTAAGGATTTCCTGGAAATCTTCGAAACTAAAAGAATCATCAGGTTGAGTTTATGAAGTCGCCATTGAGAACAAAGTACAGTTTCATTAAGGTTTGCCTGAGAAACGTAGCAGAGAAGAAAGAAGATGAACAGTAAAATAGAGAGGAGAAAGCATGAAATATAGAGACGTGGTGCAATGAGATGACGTGTCTTTTGGGTTTATAAGGGTTTGTAATGTTGCACCTTTTCAGGCTGTAGAAGGAAATAATGATTGAAATTCTTGAGAATTTCAAATATTGCTGGAAAATACAAAGTGAATATGGCAAAGATTAATAATTGGTATTAATTCTGCCATATTGTGGGGTAATTGTTGATACGCTAAAAGTGCAGCCCAAATCAAATAGCCCAAAGAGTGAAGCCCAATCGGGGAATCCAGGATAAAGGTCAAAACATGATTATTGATGAATGCGGCGGAAGCCCACGAACACGGTAACATCATCGCCCAAGCTTGCAAGACGCCCAGAATCTGAGCGAATGGAGTACTTTACGGTCGCCCAGAGCAATGACCTCGTTCTCGTCCAAATCTTCGAATCGCCCAGGATCTTAGCAAGGATAAAATATTATGGTTATCCAGAATAGCAGTTATTGAAGCAGCTATTGAGTGATCTTATCACATTCCACGATTCAAGGAGCCCAGTTGAAGACGGTTAAACGATAAAGAATAATGGTAACAGTTAGAGACGGTAGTTCCACGAAAGTTAGCCACTGTAAAGAAAGTGAGTAGTTATACAGCAATCAAGCAGTTTCCAAGCGGTTTGTCACGAAAAAATCATCAAGGGAATATAAAAAGAAGAGAAGACATAGAGAAAAAAGGACGAATCAAACACTCTCAAACAGAGAATATGTAATTTCGATTTCTTAGTTTAAATTTAAACGTTTCTTTTAGTATTCGTATGCTTGCACCCCTTGGAGGCATTTTGTTTATTTCCAATTGTAAATCATCGCCAATAAAACACCCATTTTTGGAATTTTGTCTTAAGAGGTCTGTTCTTACACAATTGTTTGATCCTTTTTTAATTGTTAGCGACTACCCATGCGAAACAATAATATTAAAAATAAAGAGTACATCAAAGTGGAAGTAGAGAAAAATATTGACAAAGCCTATAATTAGACTCACTATACATATCGAAAATATATATACGTGAAAGTAAAATTTGGAACTACCCGTCACCAAGTTGAAGCGACATTGCTAGGAGCTCTTAATGCTAGTGAACCTACAATATGATAGACTTCATGATAGATATGATCATATGAATAATAGCAATGACATTTGGAAAGTCCGATTGAGACATCTTCCCTTGGATCCAAGTTGAACGTCAATGTCCAAGGACCTTTCATGATCGAGACTATATGATAGCCACCAAATATGCCTGAATTACTCACCAGCCAAAGCTTTCTCCATCCATGCTCCCACGCATAATCAATGGCATGAATTGCTCCTACAAATTAAACCTCAAATGCATAGCACATATACACCAAGGGGAATCGAGAAGTACCCCTTGATGAAGCTCTCCAAGTATGGAAGACCATGCCACAACCAGCAAGTCGTGGCTACCAACAGTTGATCCATTTGGGATAGTGATGACAAAAAAATTCACCTGCCCAGAATGGAGCAAAAAAAAAACTCGCCCTGATGGGTTGGCAGGGCGGGGCATCCCGTGAAGAGGACAAATAATTTCATTTATGGATAATTCGCCCGTTAAAAAATTCATTTTGAATTTGTATTTTATTCCCTAAGAATAGCATAACTCGAAATTTTGAAAATGTAAAAAAAATAATAATAAATGGGGCAGCGAACGGGGCATCTTCCGTCTACTAGCTCTGAATCCGCCCTGCTGCCATTCCTAATTTGGGTTAATATCCAATACTTTCAAAATTGTTTCAAAATAGTGTATGTGGAAATATGTCCGAAAAATCCATCCAGAGTCTAGAGACGTCATTTAAGACAGTGGTTAAATGCCCATAAAGAAAGTCCAAAGCCTAAAAGTAACAAACCACGCATGGAGAAACTCCCCAACAAGGTCAGATTCGCGGAAGGTACATAAAACTTCATTTCATGTAATAAAATCAAACATAAATTTACTTTTGTATCAAAATCATATATGAACTCACAAATTTGTATCATATTCATACATAGATTAACTTTCGTCAATCAAAACTAATTGAATAATACGCGTGGTAATAATATGGCAGACACTTTACTAATTAATTATGCAAATTATACGTGAATTTTACCCCATGTCAAAATCATAGGTTAATTTTATCCCTGGTGCCAAAATCATGCATAAATTAACTTACGTCTGTCAAAACTAACATGACAAACGAAATGCCTACGTGAAAGTGACGTGACAGACATTTGGGATATCAAACAATATCATTTAAATTGCATTTTTTGGGAAATCTAAATGCATTTGATTTCAAAAGAACACAACTGTTTGGAGTTTATTGAGCATTTTAAAGCTGATTCCATAAATAAATAAGAAGAAATGAAAAAAGACTCTTTATATTTTCTCGAACTATTTAACATTACATTTAAGACGAAAATTTGTGTGATTGACCATATAATTAACGGGGTTGTGCTTGGTGTACATAATTTATGTACATAGGGGTGTGGATATCCCTATGAAGCGGACCACCCCATGTGAGGGGTATAAATACACCTATGTACATAAATTATGCACACCAAGACTTTTCCTATTTAACATCACCAAAATATTGGATACATTCTTGATTCTATGACTACCATTCAAATATTTCATTAAATGCATGGTTTGGTATGTCAAGTATCTTCGTTTGCCACTAGGGACGGCTCGGCCCTTTAATCCACGAGCTCGGCTCGGGCTCGTGGCTCGTGGCTCGTGGCTCGTGTTTTTAAAAAAAAAAATTTTGGCACATTTTTTTTCACCTTTTTTTAAAAAATTTCAATTTTTTGGACGAGCCCACGAGCCGAGTTTTAACAAGTCGAGCGGCCGAGCCGACGAGCCGCTCGGCCCATTTGACATCCCTATTTGCCACGTGGATTGTTTCATTAATTTTAATCGATAAAAATTGATCCATGTATGGATGAGATACATATTTGAGAGACAACGTATAATTTTGATTCAAAGAGATCATGTATGGTTTTAAGACGAGGGATAAGGTTCATGTATGATTTTGAGACATTAGAATAAAGTTCTGTATGAGTTTGATACTGAGGATAGTATGATTTCGATACACAAAGAAAAGCTCATGTATCATTCACATAATTAACTATCCAAATGGCAGCCACATCATTGCCAAGTAGGCACCATTTTTATAATGTGGATTGTTCCGTTATTATGACCGACAAAGTTAATTCATATACAAATTTATGAGATCATGTTTGATTACGATACAAAGCTGAACTTGTGTATAAATTTGGTACATATGATAAAGTTCATGTACCATTTGCTCATTTAACAACCCAAAATAATGATAATAATAGCTGCAACAACGGTAGCGGTGGTAGTAGTAGTAGTGATGACAAGCTTATAAGAAAAAAATTTATTAATTTATTTCTTTTCATAAAAAATAGTCCAATTGTAGTTAGGGTCTTAACTTTTTCAAAAAGTGCAAATAAATTCTGATTTTTCCATTTTTAACCGTGCAAACCCTTCACTTTGGGTAAAAACGCCGTCAAGGATCTTTTTTTTTTTTTTTACCCAAAAGTTAGAAATTGCATTTTTGAAAACGAAAGGTTCGAAATCCATTTACACTTACTAAAATGGTTTGGAACCCATTTAGTAGTGATTCTTTATTTGGTCCCTACCTATTGGGCCACATTACATATCACTATATATGTAGATTCTTCACTAATGTTTTCCATGATATGCTAACAAGGACACCTCACACCTATAACGATGAATTATTTACCACCAAATAATCTGACATTCTTTAACACTTTTTATTTTGTCATAAAGTGTAAAAATAGATATATTAAGTAGGTGGGTCCCAAGCATCGCATGAACTAAGATAATTCAATGAAATGGACATAATCTTTTACAAATTGACGAAAGTTGAGGAATTTTTTCTATTTGGTTGATGAGATTTCGATCAAATCAAATCTCATTGCTAAACTAATTTGTAAATTGTGGTGTATATATAGCACAATCATATCTCGAATACCATATAGACTTGGATATATTGAAAAATAACTTGCTCATTGATTACTAAAAATAGTAAACTATAATTGTTTATTTAGAGGGCGAATACTAGAAAGTTTAACAAAACTTGGAACAACAATTAATAGTGACGGAGTAGACTTTTATAATTCGATGAATCTATTTACAAACAGTGTGATTCTTCAATAATTGAAAAATTATAATTTAAATTAATATTTATTAAGTGCCGTCAAAATTGAGCAAACTAAGATCATGAATGTCAAGTGGGATAAGTATAGCTAAGTTTCTTGACATCAAGACTTGTTAAAAAAAAAAAAATCAAGTTAATTGGCCGAATTCTCTCAATATTTTTCACTTTCGATTCGATCCCAATTCAACTCTAACTAAACATTTTAAGCGTTGTCTCATTTCCCTTTCGGATTAATATTGTAGTTAGAGTTCAAGAAAGCTTATTACTGAAACCTCCAAACTTAAAAATCCAAACTTCTTTTTAACTTCTTTATAACTGTACAATCATTTTTTTTTAAACCGTCAAAAAAACAAGAAATAAAAATAAAAATAAAAATAAAAATAAAAATAAAAAAACACTAAAATGTCTGTATCGTCATCATCATATGGATATGGACAGAAGAATCCATCAAGCCATTGCGTTTGAATTGGATCGCTTCCACGTCAGCAACTTCCGGGTACACTGACCTGCCTTGATCAGACTCTGAACCCGCTCAAACTCTGAGATCCGACAGCGTATGGCAATCCCGCCTGCATAATCAAACCCGTATTCTTTTTCGGACTCCTCCAGCAAATCACCAAATGAAGGGTGATTAAAATACACTACAGGAACCAAAATTCTCCGAAGATCTCCATCTTTCTGGCCCACGTAGACTGCTAAATGTCCCTTCGGAACAGTAACGGGATTTTCCTGAACTGTTTCTTGCCCGACCCGGTTGTATCCACATCCCGGATCAGGACCAAGGTCCTTGGAACTCATTATGGCCTGGGACCACTTTGAAAATGGCTGTTAGATTCTTTCTATTTTTCATAATAGCCTTTCTTATTAAAAGTACTATATTGTCCTTAATGAAATTATTTACAAGATCTATCTTATATTTTTAAGGAATTGTCAATCAGGTCCTATATCTATATTTTTCAATCTTTTGAACACCTTTAAATATTCTTTATATTTTAATAGTTCTTCAAAAATTATAGGTTGACCTCTCTTAGTTATGTATCCTTTAAATAATCCTTCTCAGATTTCTTCTTGTATATTTGTATGTTTAGTTATAATATCTTCTACTTTTCTTATTTCTCTGCTAGTTCCTACATGATCAAATCCTATATTATTTCTACAATTATAATCTATATCTCTGTATGTTTCTTCTATTTTTTCTCTACCAACAGGAAATATATCATCAGATTTTTTATCTAGTTTAAGTAAGAACGAAACATCTTTTTCATCTAAAAATAAAATAAGATTATTACCATTATCAGTAGTGGAAGTGGATGCTTGTGAATTGTTCATGAAAATAATTAAAGCATAAGCATGTAAAAAATAAATAACTTACAGTAATCAATTGGAAATAAACAGGCTTTCCCTCCAGTATGTTTTTATAGATGCTTTGCATGTACTTAATCAATCTTCTGAATCAAGTAAAGATTTAAAATGTTTTTGAAATCATTTGGGTCCACAACTGCTTCCGCAAAAGGTTTTTCAATTAAGGTTGCACTTCTCATTCTAGAGAACTAGCCGTGTTTCCACAGACGCTATCTCACAGTATCCAGAGTCTCTGTTTTCACCTCTATCCAAACTCTTTTCAGAATCAAGTTCCTACTTGGAACGAAATTTTAAAAGATAACTCACACACAAGGTGCTACAAATTTTTGTTAGAAAACTTCATTTTTCCCCTAAACCATTCATCAAATACGGGTACTTTGGCATGGCTAACATCCATTCAAAATCAATATTTTGAAAATCTTTTAAAATCCCTATCTGTACTGCCGAGGAATCATGAGAAACTTAACGAAATCCTTTTATGAAAGCTTTGTTGAACATAACAAAATTTACTTTGACATTCATAAACTGAAATTGTACATGCTTACAAACTATATTTACATACCTTTGGTACTCACCTTATGAAGTTTAGAACTCCATAAGTGATTACCTTATTACACGCTTTCCTATCTTCAAGCTATCTAATATTTTTCTGAATACAAGTAGTGTAATCAGATTACAAAAGATTTCTCTTAAATCTGTTTAAGAGAAGTTATTTCAAGGTATTTCGAGATGATCCCCTTCTTCCTTCATGCCCCCTTTTATAGGAGATTTTGGAATCTTATCTTGGATAGGTGTTTTCCTTTTTTCTTTGTTGGGTAGCTAGGCCATCTTATCTCCACCGAATTCTTCATTGTCATCTTGTTGGGTGGACTTCTTTTGAAAGTAGATACCTTATCTTTTGAGTTTGTCTGCCACTTGTAACTATTGGTGAGGAGTAGTTACAATTATAGAGACTTTTCTTGTATTATCTTCTATCTTCTAGTAGCCACAGTTTTTCTTTAATAAATTTCTTTATTAAAGTAGTGATAAAGGGCTACTTCAGTCACCATCACTTCTCCATTTTCGAATCAAAGAATTCTGCAGGGAATTCTTCATCATTAAGGAATGCTTGACTCATATCTTCAACAACACAGTATTCACAATGGTGATCACTGTAATTCCAAAGTAATTTGCATAATTCTTTAGCCATATCTTCTGATCCGTGCACTTGGGTGGATATAATTGCAGATAATAAATTATCAAGATAACAAATATCTTCTTCTTTGGTATTCATTCTTGCATTGGAGTAGATAATATGATCTTCAGATGGATAAATCCATATTTTTTCTTTCTCAGTAATTATCTGAGTTACATGTTCAAATATCTCTTTATACCCTTTTGCTCGCCTGTAGGGCATCATATTTAGAATATCTTGATATCCATTTTTAACAACCTTTTGATTGACTGGTAAAAAATGCTGATTTGTTAGTCCCATTTTGATCACATAGAACGATGGATGCATATATTCAAGGGCAGGATCCCATTCCATTGTTGCTGAATGGAATCTGATATATATATTTGTTGTTTTGACAATTTCAGTATATCTTTTAACAGCTTTCCTAATGTTGACTGGAAGCTGAGCTATCTCCTTGAGATCTTTACTAGGATATATACAAAGTATGTTTCCTATTTCAAAGCAATTTCGAACCCAGTTGGCTGGTGCTCCTGGATAAAAGTTTATCTTGTTATATTTCGAATAGTGGAGAGTCTTCATCCACTTCCCAATCTCCAGATACCAGTCTGATAGAATATTAAAAATAACAATAAAAAGTGTTACTTCTTCATAATTATCTTTTTTGGGCATTTTTGCTTCATGGCATATCTTGACAATATCTTTGGGATCTATCCTTTC